ATTTTTAGGGATTTGGTGGGACCTCAATATTTGCGGATGGGATGGGAATTTGAGAACGAAGGAATTTGGAGACTTTGGAGGTTGAGAGGAATGGGAATATAGGAATTTGGAAATTAGGGATTTGGGGACTTTGGGATTGCGGGGTTTACGGATATTGGAATTTAGGAAATTGAAGACCTGGGGACTTGGAGAGTTTGGGATTTGGGGGTCGAAAGGTATGGGAATATAGGAATTTGGGGGACTTTGAGATTGGGAGGTTTACTAATATTCGAATTCCAGAGTTTGAAGAACTAGGGACTTGGTGACGCTGGGATTTGGAGTTTGAGAGATATGGGAATATAGAAATTTGGAAATTAGCGATTTGGGGATTTTCGGATATTGGAATTCAGGAGTTTGCAAAACTAGGGATTTGTGACTTTGGGTTTTGGGAGTCAAGAGATATCGGAATATACGAATTTGGAAATTAGCGATTTGAGGACTTGGGGATTGAGAAATTTACCGATATTGGAATTCAGAAGTTTGAAGAATTAGGGACTTTGAGACGCTGAGATTTAAGAATCTACGAAAATATAGGAATTTAAAGATTCGCGATTTGGGGAGTCTGACATTTGAGAGAGTTATAAATAATTGAATATAGGTAATTGAAGATCCAGAGTCTTGGAGATTCTAAAATTTGAAGATATACAAATGTGAGAATCCAAGAATTTTGAGACTTTGGTATTTGAAGTCTATAAATATTAGAAATATAGAAGTTTGAAGATCCAAAGTCTTGGAGACTCTGAGATTTGAAGGTCCACAAGTGTGAGAAGCTAAGAATTATGAAACTTTGAGATATAAAGCCCATAAATATTGGAATATAGAAGTTTGAAGATCTAGAAACTTGCAGACTATGCACTTTGAGAATCAACAAATATAGGATAGGAATTTCAGGATCTAAGGTCTTGAAGACTCTAAGATTTGAAAATCTACACAGAACAGCTACTATGCATATCTATAGAAAAAATTACATATTAATAATCATGACAAAGCACATCTACTGTAAAACATAAACGTGGTCCCTTGACAATTTCTATTAAAAAAAATATTTTGTCATTTTCAGAGTTTTTTAAAAATTCACTTCGTCTTTAAAAATTCTGTAAAAATGTACAAACACGTACACCATAAAGTAGAATATCCCTGATTTTTCTCAAAATTTTAACAAAAGATATAAAACTTAAACTATAAATTGCGTTTCGCCCTTTACCTACACTTCAAGTAAAGATACCTTGATACTTAGAAAAAATGATTTCCTTTGAACAGTCTATTAACTAATATACTAAACTGATATGTTCATTGATTAATTTGATCTAAAGGCACTTTCGACCCCTTTAAGAATATAACCAGACAATATTATACTCTTTGTATATTTACGAATCCACGAACAGAGCTATTCGAAGATCTAAAGATACGAGATCTTAGAGGTTAGCCGATCTAAGACTATGGAAATCTATGGATTTAAAGCGAAAGAAATGTGGCGATTTAGAAAGATATTAAGGAGATTTGCGTTCGAGTGTACGCTCAATGCCCTGCGCACGTTCTTTTTGGTTGAACGGGGGTTGCCGGTCGTTAAAGGCCGAGTAGTATCATTATTCTGGAATTTTTCCCGGAAATGCATCGGCTAGACCGTGCAGGATACAACTCGGGGATCGTTAGTGGCCCATGGTTGGATAGCGAGCTGTTTCTGAAAATTTCACGCTTCGCAGTAACCAAGATTACGAAATTGCCCCTCGATCCACCATTCTCGCTACCCTTTGTATACAGTTTCTTTTCTTCACCGGCGGCTACGTATGGGGTTGTTTTTAGTACGTATTGGCTATAACGGTAGTTTCAACCGCGTATATGTTTATTTTATGTAAATATAAGACGCGATACAGGCTGGTTCAAAATAGGAATTTAAAAGGCTAATAAAAACACGATTAAAATGCTCGTTGAATTCTGCTGCCGACATAGTAGAATAAGATTACAAAATTTTCTTGTTTTCGTAGACATAAATGAATCTCAAATTTTGTAATTAATGATATTATTGAAATTTTTTAAATATCGTGATAGTAATTCATTTTCTGCATTTTTTTTTCAAATACCTTGAATTTGCAATGTTACTGTAAATTGAAACTTGGAGAACAAGTTTAGGGATTGTAAGATTTAGGATTTCAGGAACTTTGAAATATTTTAATGTTTAGAAATCAGGAACTTAGAAATTATGTTTCAGAGTCTGAAAAATTAGGTATTTGAGAACTTGAAGACTTTTGCACGCTTGAGAATCCAGAAAATTTCAAAGTATGAACGATCAGGAAGTCAAAACTTTGAAGTACTTGAATATTGAGAGCTGCAGAAATTAAAGGGTTCGAAAGTTATACCGAATAAACGGAAACTTCGTTGGCCCGAAAAGATTGATGAAATTCATCGAGAGGTCCAATACGAGCGTAAAATCGAAATGCAAAGAAGCCATTTCACTCTGCCGAAAGGAAAATCCAGAAACTCGATCGGTAACCTTCAGTTAGCATCGGCATAACGGAATACGACCGATCATTATTCACTTGCCACCGCTTCAAACAATGGCTATTAAGCCGGTCCTTTCGTCCGAACTGACTAGCCATTAAGTACAGAAACGAGCTATCCGGAGTGAAAAGCTATCAACGGGACTTCTCGTGAGGCACGGTTCGCGTCAATCGGCAGCGAAGCTTTTTGGGTCAATCGGCGGCATTAACGCGAACTTCCGAGTCCATGGAGATCGCTTTGTTGTTTGCTCGTTAGTCCGACTAACCACAAATTGAGATGGTGTCTCTACCCTCACGTATCTGGTGAGATTATTTCCTACGTCGATATTTGATCACGAAACAAACAACGAGTCGGGTTAGTCTACGAACGCCGTTATTCGGGTTGGGCGATATAGTGAGGGCTGAGGAAAAATCGGGGTGAAAGAAAGTTTTTGGGGATGTGTAGGAGTTTGGAAATTGGGGGTAGTGGAATATGGGATTTGGGGAATTTGGATGTTTGAAGGGTTGGGAATTTGAGGATTTGGGGATTTGGGGATTTGGGAATTGGGGGTAGTGAAATATGGGATTTGGGGAATTCGGATATTTGAAGGGTTAGGAATTTGGAAATTTGGGGATTTGGGGATTTGGGGATTTGGGGATTTGGGGATTTGGGGATTTGGGGATTTGGGGATTTGGGGATTTGGGGATTTGGGGATTTGGGGATTTGGGGATTTGGGGATTTGGGGATTTGGGGATTTGGGGATTTGGGGATTTGGGGATTTGGGGATTTGGGGATTTGGGGATTTGGGGATTTGGGGATTTGGGGATTCGGGGATTTGGGGATTCAGGGATTTGGGGATTCAGGGATTTGGGAATTCAGGGATTTGGGGATTTGCGGATTTGGGGATTTGGGGATTTGGGGATTTGGGGATTTGGGGATTTGGGGATTTGGGGATTTGGGGATTTGGGGATTTGGGGATTTGGGGATTTGGGGATTTGGGGATTTGGGGATTTGGGGATTTGGGGATTTGGGGATTTGGGGATTTGGGGATTTGGGGATTTGGGGATTTGGGGATTTGGGGATTTGGGGATTTGGGGATTTGGGGATTTGGGGATTTGGGGATTTGGGGATTTGGGGATTTGGGGATTTGGGGATTTGGGGATTTGGGGATTTGGGGATTTGGGGATTTGGGGATTTGGGGATTTGGGGATTCGGGGATTTGGGGATTTGGGAATTTGGGGATTTGGGGATTTGGGAATTGGGGGTAGTGGAATATGGGATTTGGGGAATTTGGATATTTGAAGGGTTGGAAATTTGGAAATTTGGGGATTTGGGGATTTGGGGATTTGGGAATTAGGGGATTTGGGGATTTGAGGAATTGGAGATTTGGGGATTTCTGAATATGGGAACTTGAAAATTTGGGAATTTGAGATTTTGGGAATTTGGGAATTCGGAAAATTGGAAATTTGAAGAATTGGAGATTTCTGTATATAGAAACTTGGAGGTTTAGGGAATTAAAGATTTGGAAATTTGAGTATTTCTGGATATGGAAATTTGGGAATTTGGGGAATGGGGAATTTGAGGATTAAGAAATTTATAGTCCCACAAAAAAGTAATGTTTCTTCCAAAGAGATCCGCAGCTGAAGGGTCAAATCAGTAAAAATGATACGTGTTCCTATCATGACATATAAAATAATTTTTTACGTGAAACTGTTTGTAAACATCGTTTATCAACAAGAAAGAAATTAAACTGTTTTCACTTATATGTATTAAAAATACGCAGTGATTTATACCGTAGCGAGAAACGGTTGCTGGCAAACGATTTCATCAGAGATCAGAGAATGCCGAGCGTTTCGCGAAAACAAACGCTTCGCTCCATTGATCACTCGCGAAAAATGTTCAAATGCGATCCAAATATCCGTGGTGATTGCCAACGGAATGCGTTATTACTTTCGTCTATCGATTTCGTACGCTGAAAACAATAACTGGCAAGGTAGATCAAAGATTTTTGATTCAGTAGTCATTAGTTTTAGTGCGATTCGCAATCCCCTGTATAGAAAAGTTATTTCGTCCATTCAGTTGATCGTGAATCGGTTTGATTTCAAGCGATATTTATTTTTGTGATTGCAACTGTTGAACGATATTTGCATTTAATGTAGAATAATATCAGAAAGTAATGTGAAGTAACATGAAAGTACTATGAAAGTAGTAGTAGGTTATGTAATTATCAATTTTGTGCAAAGGTGAATTTATGTGATGTAACATATTTTTGAACGATGGACACATTTTACTTTGGGTGAAAGTATTTACAGCTTAGAATATTTTCATAACTTGCAGTGTATATTGCATGAAACGTTTCCACTCATATGAGATTCATATCTCATTCAGATAAGAATATCTCAAGTTCTCATATTAGAACACCTCTCTAATTGACGTTTTTTATTAAAACCATTAAAATAAATATTGATTAAACTGAAACTCACCGCAGGTGTAGACGACTTTCAAATAAGTTCTGCTTTCCGGGCTGCAAGGTTCACCAAATGTCGAACTGTTTGCCACCACAGAGCAACGTCGTTTCCCATGGCACATATTCATCACTGTTTCCGTCGCGTGTGGCGTCATGCACGCTGTAATCAATTGAAATCGATCAGTTTAGAATATTCCACCGTTTCGTCAAACATATTTTTTCCTTTAACTTGCGGGGGATAACACGAATCATTTGTCAGATCAAAAATTGCATGACGGATTAAAGCGTGACTGTGACCGTTTTATCTGGCTTAATGGAAACGTCAACTTCATCAGTCCATGAGTAATAATGCCATATTTGACAATTCTGCATCGCGCGTGTACGAGTACAAAGCATTGTTTTGTCTCTTTTTTGACCAACTTGACGAGGTATTTTTCATCCGCGCTGAGCTTCTGTGGTTTTAAATGTATGAGTATTGATCGTTCGTAAATACAGCGTTAAAAAGAAGAGGAAGTTTAAAAATGGAAAGTATTCACAAAAGGGAAATAGAGTCATGATCAAAATTAATCCAAAAATTGTGTTTATAAAAACTTTACTATATTAAAATAAAATAATCTAACTTCTTATTAGAAGAAAGAATAATTATTATTATCGCAATTTTTTTATATTATTTTGTCATGAAATCACACTCGTCATGTTTCGAATTGCAGAAAAAATAATGCAAAATTAAGCAAATCTTAAGAAATGATTTCCAAATTAAATTTTAGATAAAATATACTTAGTCGAATGCTCTTCCTAACAAAGTTTTATTAAAATTAGAATTTCTGGACTGGGTTTTCGTTGAGAGTACCATGATGTTTCTGCTGTTATAGTTATACATTGTCGCATTTGATGTTTACAAATTCATACCGCTCACTGAAAGCGTTACCAAGTTAACGGGTTCGCAACGTACTCGAGGATACGTATAATAACTAAGAATGTCTGGTGGAGCGTGAGGATAATCCTATTATGAAACGTGTATGTAAATAGGAGAAGGTTAGGTAATCCGCTCTTTTCATGTGGCATGAGATACCAGAAGCGAGAAGGTATATACTTGATATTATAAGACAGAGAATTTTTAATTGCAACATTAAGTTTTCTAACTGTGTTTATTAAGATCTTGCATTCTGGATGTCACCCTTCAAGTATTTGCATACATTTTAAGCATTTCTGAATATACTAGCAAATTCTGATACAATTTTGATATTATCTTTTAATTCTCAAACATTTTTACGTAAATCACGCATATTATTAAGGTATATTAATGTTATGTATTGGTTACCTTTGATCTTTAATTCTAATCTTTGGTCACTAATCCTATTGTGTATCTGGTCATTAATTCTAGCATCAATTTTAATTGTGGGTTAAGTACTTTTTGTGATAACACATAGTGTTCGATATATGTAGAAGCTTATTTTATGACTTAATTATTGTTATATACTCACTTTCTTCCTTCACGTCATGCGGCTGGGGACACTGAAGAGATTCGTATTCTGTTCTACCAAATGATGCACTGAAAATGGCAACCCTCTGTCCGGGATGACAAGCAAGATTGATGACATCATTCTCGCAAGCAACTTTGCTTCTGAATTCATCTGTAACAAACAAAAATTTCTGAATAAATCAAATTTTCTTTTGTTTTCACGAGTGAATATAATGGTCCTGTTCAATTTTTAATATTGAAATATTTCTCAATTTTCAATCTGGAAATGATTCAATATTAAAATTTTGAAAATACTAAAATGTTAAAAACACTGAAATATTAACAACATACATGGTGATCCATTACTCACATTCTATGTATACAATTGTACATAGATGTATAATTGTCTCGTCATTTCTTATTATGTAATTATTATTTATAAAAAGAATTTATGTTACGAAAATGTTACGTAAAAGACTCCTGTTTGTTTGAACACCGAGTTCATTAACAAATTGACAAATAGGTCACATTCAAAATAAATGGTTCAATTAAATTACGAACAGTTAAAGACAAGTAACGACTGTCCTTAAAGGACGCTCGCTGTACAAGAGACATTCCGTACATGGCACGCATCGCATCGAAACGAGACTACGTATCCGACGAAGAGACAAACAGCGAAATAAACCGGGACGGTTTTTACGAGAAGCCGTGCATCTCGGTAAAATCTCCGTTGTCTCGTTCACAGTTCTCGGTATGCGAGAATTTCAACGAATCTAATCAGATCAGACATCTTCTTCAGCTGCCTATAACACGTTTTTGCTGCCGCAATCGTCTCTTTGCGATCTGCGATACCACGGTCGAGGAATTCCTTGAATTTTCACCTGTTCTTGCCAGGGGTCGATGAACCATTCATATATTCCATTGAATTCCTACGCGAATTACAGCCAAACGCGAATTTCTCGGACACATTCAGGAATGGAGATCGATAATTGATGAATAATATTGATTATCTCAATTTTAGAAATAATTAATATTCGATTCATTTGTCGGTACGCATGAATTTTTGAAATCGGTTATAATGATCTATAAGGGATACCGAAAGGTAATCAAAATTTCGTTTGCTTTCGAAAAACATTTATTTATTAAAGAAATCTTAAATGCTAATCAACAAAGTAATTTCCATTATTTTCTAACGCTTTTTGTTAGCGTAAAGACAATTGTTCGATTCCCTTTCTAAAAAAGTCCTTCAATTTTTCATTGAAAAACTTTGAAGTCATCGAAGAAATTTTGATTACTTTTCGGTACCCCTAATATTTTCAATTATTAATCTTCTTGGTAATCTATTGGAGTCATTTAATTTAAATGAAAGGGAATTAAATTAAAAATAAATTGAACTAAAATTAAATCAGGTAGAATGAAATTAATATTTTAAATTGGAATTGTAAATAACATGACATTTATGTATCTGAAATTGTAATTGATAGTATAGTGAAATTTTTGTATTTTTTGAAAAGTCACAAATAATTTGAGACAGTTTTATCAAAAGATATATTTATCGTTCATTTTTGGTGAATTACAATACTGTACACGCACAGTGCAGAATGTACAAGAGTTAATGCGATTGAACCGAATTATTTTACCAGTAATTGTGACAGAATGAACGCATCAGTTATCACGAGACTCTAAATTTGATGAATAATATTGTTTATTCCGCAGATTTTACAACTAATATTGTATCAAATGAATATTTAGGTATTTGATGGCTTGTTCCAGGATCGACGTATCAATTGTCACGATCAGTTTTATGATTATATGTGATATATGTAAATGTTATGATACGACATGATATGTAAATGTTTCAACTATTCAACATTGTGCTAATTAATTTTAAATTCACAGATTTTATATACACTAAGATTTACTATATTCTCCTTCTCCATTTTCTCATTCATTCCATTTACTTCTCATTTTATTCTAATTTGCTAGAATCCCTACAGAGTCTAAGACAAATATAAAACAATTGATATAATTGACAAATCCACAACAGTAAATATATAACCCATTAAACTGAATGTTGAACACAGAATTTTGACAAGAAGCTAATGTCAACCTAATATCTGAGAATATCGATTATTAGAGTAAACTTGGAAACAGATAGTTCTGGTAATAATGTACCCAGTCAGATGGAATGTATTCTAACTAGGCTACTCCTACGTGTTATCAGTACAAAGCTTCCGAATATAGAGACATCAAAATCGTTCAACGTAAACACGCGACAGTTTCTCTGTCTTAGAGGCAAGAATTTCTCGTTGATGACAATGCATCGTCGGAGAATCAATTTATGGATGATTAATGCCCGGATAATCGAAATTCTGTCCGTTGCGAGTATTCCGATGCCATTATAGATGAAAATTAGCGCAAAGTTAGAAATCCTGCATAACCCAGGAAAACTGATGGAATATTAATTATGATAAAATATGAAGAGTAATAAATAAATATTAGAACAGAAAGGATTTAACACAATTTTATGATATTAGAGTGTCGAAATAACGCGATGGATGTATCAGTTTCAAGCTTGAAATTTGATGAGAATAACTGATTGAACAATACATCGTTCTTCGTACAAAATGGCGGGCAATCAGCGCGTTAATTGAAAATCGACTCCAAAACTGTGTTAGCAAAATTAAACATCAGAGGTTCAATTACTGCTTTGTTAAATTATATTTAAGGATACAGAAAATTTCATGCTTTCTTTTCGTTATTTCTGCATTTTTATTTCCTTAACAAATCAGATTTTACGCTGTTTTATGACACTCTTTTTTGTGCGAATGTGCAACGAATTTATTTGATTCATAACTTTGTTAGAACTTGCTGAACATTTATAAAATGAAAAATTTAAAGTAACAATTTTAGATAATAATTCTGGATTGTTCGAATAAAATATGTAGATATTCCAAAATAAAATTCTCGACAAAAAATTTAGATACTTCAAAGTAAAATTCTCGATAAAAATTCCAAACTGTTCAAATAAAAATCCTAGATAAAAATTCTAGATTGTTCAAATAAAAGTCCTAAATAAAAATTCTAGGTATTCTAAATAAAACTTCAAGTTCCACATTTTAGTTTTTCTAAATAAAATGTCTAGATAAAAATTCTAGATTTTCTCAATAAAAATTTTGAATAAAAATTGCAATCTTTTGAATGAAAATTCTAAATAATAATTTGTAATTTTCCGAATAAAACTTCTTGAGAAAACTTGAAATTTTTTAAATACAAATTGTACATAAATTTTATAAATTTTACATTTTGATGTAAACAAAAATTCCAGATAAAAGTTGCAGCTTTTCCAAATAAAAATTCCAGACTTTCTCTATATAAAATCAGTTGATATGCAGGATTATTGTAGCGAATGCTTTAAATTCGAACAGAGGAGTTTCCGTAATGAATGATTACAATATGATATTATAAGCTGTTCAGATAAATCTAATAACAACGCGCAATAAAGAGGATAAATTGCAGCTATAACCTGGGGATAGGAAGCTGATATTTGGTACGGATTTCGATAAACTGTGCGACTGGATCATAAATAAAATGATTATCTTCGGTGTTCAAACTGTGCTACGCTTTTCTGCATGCAAAATTTCATGGAACTATGCGTTATACATATTAAACGTCGTTGCGTGTTTCAGATACGTTAGTATGTTGCTATAGTACTTGCATAATAATTCTTGCTAAAGTTCATCAATTTCGAACGTATATGCAGATCGTCAAATCATTTATGCAAATATAATTAACGAGGCATTCTCTCGATATTTATATGTTCTGAAATTTCATCATTTTCATTCACCATTTAGCATAATCGTGTCGCGTTAATGCAAAAGTAAATTTAGATTAAAAAATTGCAACAAGATAATTAGGAGGCAATTATTTATTAAAGAAAGTCTAGGAAGTTGATAATGTTTATTACAATACACATTGTAAAAGTGTATTAATCCATGTGTTTGAGAATCTAGAGACATGGCAATGTATCTACTATAGTGTAGTGCAATGTATCTATTTAACACTATTTATTGATCCAGCATGATACAATCGATTCACTACCGAATTACTAATTACGAGGTGCGATCATTAAGTTCCGGGATTGTGTCTGCTGTGGCCAAACGAATGACACGATTGACATGCGCTCGCAGAACATAAGAATAACAATCTTCGAGACATATGACACGAAGTTTGGAAGCGAAGATTGAATCCTGTGTTATACAAGTTTATGGTAGCATACGCACGCTCTCCTTTGCGAAATCACGATGGACTCCAAAATTGGAACAGAGGGACATAAAAAAAAAAGAAACATGGAAAATTGTCGTACTTCCTCACCCTCCGTATTCATCAGATTTGGAACCTTGTTATTTCTTTTTGTTTCCCAAAATGAAATTAAAGCTCAAGGGTCGCCGATTTGACACGGTGGATGAGATTCAACGCGAATCGCAGCAGGTGCTTGACACGCTTCAACAAGAAGACTTCTAGGAAGCTTTCCAAAAATGGCAGAGGCTCTGGGATCGGTGCATAGCTGTACAAGGGGACTACTTTGAAGGGGATAGTAGCCAAATTTGAAACGTGACTTTATCTGCATATACGGGACCAGTCCTGGAACTTAATGATCGCACCTCGTATTGATCATCAACACTAATGGGACACTTGGAAATTTGCAAATGTGGAGGAACATGAAAATGTGGATTTGGGAACATTATAATCTGGGGTCTGAGGATTTAAGAACTTTGTAGATACCTAAGATGGGTATTTGGCTATTCTGGTTAACAACTTGATAATCTAGATATCTAGGAATTTACAAATCTAGTTATCTAGTGATTCACTAATAAAGTCATTTGAGAACTTAAATATGTGAAATAGGGATTTAGAATAGTAGGTATGGAAATCTGAAAATATAATTAACTGAAGATATGGATACTTTGGAATTTACAAATGTGGTGTATTTAAGTATCTTGGTATCTGAAGATTTAAGTATCAGAAAGTCTAGGTATCTGGCAATCTATGTGCTTAAGGATCTAAGTATCTGGGAATCTAGGTATCTGCAGATCTAGATATTTGAGGGTTTAGGTATCTGAAGGTCCAGATATTTGAAGGTTTAGGTATTTGGGAATCTAGATATGTGGG